CACACGCTACAGAATGACGATCTGGTTTGTCTACTTTCGTCTCTCCGGGAGGTTAATCAAAGGAATCACAGTGTTTCTCATAAGTTACGCCCACATGACTTATTTGCATGGTCTAATGGATTTGTTTTTTTGCACACATTGCAATTTCCTGCTCTTTGTACAGGACATGGAAAACAAATGTATCACTTTGTGGTTCCTGTCAGGCGTGTTCAGGAGCTTTTATTTTGGGATTAAACATCTATAGATGCCATGCTAATTCATGAATTTGTCCAATGTGTGTTGCTCACTTTGACAACAACCTGCGATTGCATCTTATTTTTCCCCGCTGCTGCATCAAGTGCCCATATAGTTGTGAACTAGTGTCAGTGATAGGCCTTTCAATAATCATCATTTTATCTTTATCACCTTATTGCTCCTGGTTGCCTACCTTATCTAACCCTTCTAAACACATGGAAACACACAATGTATGCAGGCCCCTCACTCTAAAGTTAATTTTTAATAATCTTTTATATATATATATATATACTGCGAGTTTGTCTGTTACTGTCTCATAGATAGTACGGTCGTGTGACTAATTCCTCTGACTCTTCAATACATTGGATGTCCATCACACCTGGTGGATCATGGCTGGATTTCTGTGGAGGTATAGGAATTACATTGTGATAGTCCTAACACCTCTTTTAATCCTGCCTCTGCCACTGATCATCCTGACCCCAGTAAGAAGGTTTTTTTTTTTTTTGTGTAGTTTGTTTTATTTTGGTAATTGAATACATTTTAATTTACACAACTCAAATTAACATGTAAATAAATAAATGAAAATAAAGCAAGTCATAGAAAGAAGAAAATTTATATATTTATTTGTGTTTTTCTGTCATAGGAAATATCTGCATGGCTTATTGTCAAGGGAATATCAGCCTTGTCATCAATAACTTAGTTATATTAATGTGTATTGCATTAAGAACAATTGTATAAGCCATGCATTTTGCTACTACTACTACTACTACAGTGTAATTATTGGAGTAAGCTGTGCAAAGGCCATCATGCGCTGACAGTAGATGTGATAAAACTTGTAAATGCATGATACATAAGGAAAAAGGTAGGAGAGATTGTCTTGATGTTAGAGCATGACATTGGAGAAAGGTGTTATTTGATTAGGGCATGAAGATTTGTTTTTGTGGAGATATGTTGAGAAGTTAATGAGGCAAATAAGGGCTGATTCTGCTGTCCATGAGTGTCGTAATGAAAGTGACTGAAAGTGTGAGGAGAGAGAAGTGTAGAGGCTTATTAGGAATCTCAGTATTTACTGACTTGACAGTTCAATTCACTGGGGAGGTTGTATTGTTGTATTATTACTATTTAACTTAGAAAATAATTATACTTGGTGTTTTGAGTCAAATGGGAATCTATTTCTTATCATGTTTTTCCAAATTAATTTCTTCAATCCACAAAGTATGTTTGAGAATTTCAACTGTACTGCATCCAGATCTGCAGACACATTTTGTGAAACCACTGCAACAAAACGAAAGGGGCAACTTCTGATAATAAAAGAGGATCAAAGACATTAGTCTGGAGAGACACTCATTGCTTTACATTGTCTTTTTAGCTGCAGCATGTCCAGAAAAGGCCTCTGTCAGTGACCCTTTGTACTGTGTAATCTTAAGCTATAATAAATTGAAGAGTGGGCTCATGTTCAGGAAGACCACAATCTATCTGAGATAAGCATTTTATGGTTCTTTGATTGTTCTTGATCAGCTGTTTGCTTTTTGTACTGCATAATAATACACTGTGTTTGCAAACACAAATAACATTAATAAATAATAATACACTTCCCATGTATAGCACTCAACAGAGTTCATGGATGTATGAGACATGCAGCAAAAAAAGAAATGACACAGGGAAGTATGTATCATGTTTTTTCTTTATTCTTGAACTTTTGTCAAGTTATATTGGTGTTCACCCTTAATTACAAGCCATTATACGGACATCAGCTATAATTAGACAGTAGTTATGACAAAAGGTCCCAGAGATCCCAGCCAGCTAAGCAGACCGAAGCAGTAGAGTTAACTTTGTGCTTGTAAGAAATGTATTATGTAAATAAATAAATGACTGCCTGCAAATGTTTCAACCGTGAAAGGAAAAACCATTTCTAGTTAAAAACGCATTTATTCAAGATGATTTCCACAGTTATAATGGTACTATACTGAACTATAGCACTGTAGGTTAGCCCAGGTATAGAACCATTTATGTGTAATGTTAAGCAACACAGTCCTTTTCTGTCATTACAGGAGGCAAAATGTGGCTTTATAATAATCCTCATGGCACTGTACTGCTGTGCAGAGTGTATCCCTCTGGCTGTGGCCGCCCTGCTGTCCCTCATTCTCTACCCCATGATAGGCAATCAGGCGAGGTATTTCTAACCACGTACTGCCTACACACATTGTAATCAGCCATTTCTTGGTCTTTTGCCTCTTTCCCAGGATCAAGGAGTGGATTTCCTTTTTCTTTCCTTATCCAGGTTTGTATCCAGTACCTGAAAGATTCCAACATGCCCTTTATTGGTGGGCTGCTGGTGGCCATCGCTGTCGAGCACCGGAACCTGCACAGGATGATCGCCCTTCAAGTTCTGCTTATTGTGGGGGTCAAGCCATCTCTGTAAGAAACGTTATTCTTTACATGCATACACATACATGCATATACATACATACAGCAGCTACATTATTAATTAAGTATGTGGATACCCCCCCGCCCGGTAACCTTTGTGTGTTTTGGATCTAGGGGTGTTTTTATTGAAAGCCCTCATAATGAGACACAAATGTGGGTGTAATGTTTAAGTGTTCACATACTTTTGGCCGTTTTATTTGTCACTCAAATCCCTTTACACGCTTTGTCCAACCTTCTATCTAATCATTTGTCTCGGGCCCTCTCCAGCCTGATGAGCGGTTTCATGAGCACCAATGCCTTCCTGTCCATGTGGATCAGTAACACGGCCTCCACAGCCATGATGCTGCCCATCACCAACACTGAGCTGCAGCAGCTGTGAGAGACAGAGGCCAGAGCTGAAGAGAGGGATTATAGCCTGAGCACCACACACCGCACAGGAGGGTCAGCAAAACCAGACATTCGAGATGGGTGACAACAAAGAAAGCAGTGACAGGAAGCTCAAACCAAAGGACAGCAGCATCAACGTGTGTGTGTGTGTGTGTGTGTCTTTTTGTTAACCTTTTTAGTGTTGTTGTTTTACTGTTTTGTTGTTTACTTGGTGTTTTGCAGATAAAGATGATGAGAGCAAACATATGAAGGAAAATAATGTTACTTCAAGTAGGTTTTTTTCAACTTGGTCTTTGACATAACAGCCTGATTTAGAAAAGAATAACAAAAGGTCAAATAGAAGTAGAGAAGCAAAAGTTCAGATGTTGATGTTCAAAGGCTGAGCAGCGCCGACTGAGGACAAGTGTTTGTTACACTGCCAGCATCGGCGGTATGGCAACTCTCACTGGAGCCACACCTAATGTCATCCTGAAAGGCCAGATTGATGAGTACGACTTGTAGACACGAATAAACACACACACAAGGCAAGTTTCCTGGATGCAGATCCATCTTCTGGTTCTGGGCAGTGCAGTGGTTCTGCATAAACGAGCACAAAACGTTGGGCAGGATGAGCTTTGCTGAGGGCTGTGTGCTGGTTATCTTCACATTGCTGGTTCTTATGTGGTTTATCAGGGAGCCTGGGTTCATAACCGGCAAAGACAAACCGTGAGTACATAAACTGTTACGCAGCTTCTCAGTGAAAAAGTAAAGAAGTGAAGAACAGTTTATCAGGGAATGGCCCAGTCTAGGAGGAGAATAAGGAAGGGTCTGCTATTAAGGCTGTATCAATGTAGCCAGTCTGTAGCCTTTTGAATGGTCCAGTATTATCAGATGTTTGAATTGATGACCCTACCTTGTAATCCTCTGTCTAGTCCGGGCT